ACAGTGGAGCCATGTGGTTGCGCACTCTTGCATGGAAGCGGTTGGCACTGGCGCAGGAGGCACAAGGAGTGAGGAGCTGATGGACATCCCTTCCTTGCTTCCACCCTACATCTTCCAAACCTTGGCCCACACACACACACAGATGTTGTTTCTCATCTCCTCGTGTTTTTCCCCATCTCAGCTGTGAGCCAGAATTTGTTGCGTGTGTTTGCTCAGGCCAATGCTTGCTTGAGTTTTCTACCCCCAGCTTCAGCCTTTCCCTTTGTAGAATCATAGAATGGCTTGGGTTGGAAGGGACCTCAAGGATCATGAAGCTTCAACCCCCCCATCACATGCAGGGCCACCAACCTCCACATTTCATACCAGCCCAGGCTGCCCAGAGCCCCATCCAACCTGGCCTTGAACACCTCCAGGGATGGACGGGGCATCCACAGCCTCTCTGGGCAGCTGTTCCAGCACCTCACCACTCTCATAGCAAAGAACTTGCTCTGCTGCAGACCATTTATCTGGATACAAACCTCGTGTGCTGTTCCCAGACAGAAGGGAGAGGAGAAGTCGACTGGATGAGGGAAAGGTGAAGAAAGAAGAGGTAGATCGGATTATTGTGTGCACAGGGATCTCTCTTTCTCTCCTGAAGAAGCACTGGTGGAAGACTTTGTCCCCTCAGAGCCATGTGTGTCCACCCACACCACCATGCAAGCAGCAGACCCAGCAATAGGACAGCTCTGATTGCAGCATCTTTGATGGGAGGGAGGTGTTAGCCCAGCTGGGTTGGTTGGCTGGTTGGATTGCAGCATTGCTTGGATCATTCTTTTGCCCTGACAAGAGAGGACTGTGACATTAACCTGAAGAACAGAGCAAACAAAGCTGTATGCAGAGCTACATCTCACCGTGAATTCTGGTGTGCTGAGCCCAGGTGATTACAAACAGAGACTTTAATGATTCTACTGAGCTTTTTTGAAAGTGGCTGGAAGCCCAGAGAGCTTTGTTCAGCTGGAATGAAAGCCTGCAGGAATGAATGAACCCTGCTTCATCCTGTCATCTCTCTGGTGGCAAAGTCTGCCAAGCCTTGTATCCATTCCCAGAAGCTCTGTGGGACAGCCATGGTGGCAAATGGGGAACAGTGAGATTGAAGTCCCTTCAATATACATGCTTGCACGCTGTGGTGAATGCAGCATCCTTTCCAGAATCAGGCTCAGCAGGGCATCATGCAACAGTCTGGTCTGTCTTAGAATCATGGAGTCATTAAGGTTGGAAAACACCTCCGAAATCCAATCCCAACTCCAATCCATGCCATTATGCCGGCTGACCACGTCCCTCAGTGCCACATCCCCATGCTGCCCCCAGAACAGGGAATGCTTCTGCAAAGCATCCGACTCTCACGTGGTCCTTGGAAAAAGCCCTGTGACGTTGCTGGCACTGAATGAGCCCGGCGTGTTCCTGAGGCAATGCAAGGGGAATTCTTCAGCAGCCATTTAGTGTTATTGATAACCCAGAGAGGAAATCCTTGCTATCTGATGGAGTGCCAGCAGCGGGTGGTGAGGCACGACGTGCACGGGCTGCACAAGCATTCAGGTGAAGCTCTGCATCCCAAGGGCTGATCCAACCCTCCTCCATTTCTCCACCCACCACCCCAGGTGGTGGGGAAGCCCTGTGGGTTGCTGGTGTGTTTGCAATGACAAATGAGGTGGATGGTGCCAGGCGTTCAGCACAGGGAGCAGAAGCACCAAGGAGGGAGGAGGACAGCCATGAAGATGCATCAGCTGCAGAGGATTTGTAAGGCAGAGAAGGAAAGATGTATGCTCTAAGGATACAGTGGTAATAAATCCTTATTCTGCACCGTGTTTACTGAATGCCCAAAGCAATCCCTGGCCACACACAACACCACCCAAACCCTATGGCTGAGAGTGGTGTCCCAGCACTCCCTGAGCTCCAGCAGCTTGGGGCTGTGCCCACTGCTCTGGGGAGCTGTGCCATGCCCATCACCCTCTGGTGCAAAACGTTTTCCTATGTCCAATCCGATCCAATAAAACTATCAGATGCCTTTGCATTGCCCAGCTCCACCTTGACCCCAGGTGAACATCACCTGCTTGGTGCTATTCGGTGCCAGCAATGGAAGCCACCACTGAAGTCTACAGTGCTCTTAATCCTCTGGGGTCTGAGCTGGGTCAGCCCAGCCCCACGGTGGGAATATCACCAGGAAAATCCCACTCCCGGCACCAGCCTGGGTCAGAAATGAGGAGCATTGCGACCAAGAGGAGAAGCTGCTGGGCTGACTGCTGATAAAGAGCTCTCGTGTCCTCCTCCATCAGTGTGCAAATAGCTATTTGCAAAGGGAACTGTCTCAGGGATGCACATGAACTATTTGCTTCTTCCCCCTCCTTTCCTTTGCAGTGCTGGAAACCGGTCCTTCCAGGCACCAGCTGCATGCAAAATGCGTTTTCTTGCTAAGATTCCAGGTCACGATCTGTCCTTGAGACTTGTCTGCAGTATCAGAATGTGTTTGCACTCAGGGCCTGTGGGGTGGAGGGAAGACAAGAAGAGACCCAACTTCTTCTCTTTGAGGTGGGACTTTCAGCTCACGTCGCGTGGCTGGGCAGGTGAGGAGCACTGAATGCTTCACCTGAATGTTCCTGGATTTAAGTGAAGTCTTTTAAAGACAGAAGAGAAAAACTCACTGTGGTTCCTTGGAATGCACCTTGTTAGGGGCAGCCTCCAGGGCCATGCGAGCTGAAGGGAGGATGGAGCATCCTGGGTTGGGATGCTGTCGGGCACCAATGTGACCCCTGCTGGCTGCAGGTAACAAAGAGTGTAGTTTTGCCTAAAAAGAAAGCTGCTCAGCTGCCAAACAGAGGATTATAGCATCAGCTTTAGCGTGTTTGTACCATTCTGTGTCTGGTTTCTGGGGAGACTGCTCTCCTTCTCATTCTCTTTCAGAGAACAGAGCAGAGTAGAAATTAACCAACGTTATCAAAAAGAAGAAAGAAAAAAAGGATGGCTTTCATCCCAAGAGTGCTCCGGGCCCTGAATATTCACTTAAAAGCTTTGCAAGGGAGAAGACTTCAACTTTCAGCCTCATTAACTAACGAAGCCCCCACAGCTCTGCTGCTGCTCAGCAGCCACCTCTGCCCAAGAGGGGCACGTCCTCACCAGGCAGCCACGGAAGGGCAGTCTTTGAGTGTATTAATGATGCTCAACAGGGAATGCGACCCATTTATGGTGTCCTTGGTGGAAATGCAACCAGCCCAAGGACTGTGGGCGAACACCAGATCTCATTTCTCTCCAGTGTGCCAATGGGAGAAAGTCACCATTGCTCCATCACCCAGTGCCTCACCACGGATGAGCTGTCTTTGGTGGAGAGATCTCAGGGCCAAACTTCAGGAGGAAATTAAGACTCAGCCAGCCAAAGAGGTGCCTGCGGACATCATGCTCTGTGCCCACAGCTCTGGGGACAAGCAGAGCCCCTTGGCCGTGGAGCCACCAGCCACCTTGGCCATGTTTTCCACGGGAAACATCCCATCTGTCTCTGCAGAGTTCTGTGCTGTACTGAAATTCTTCCAATTTTAGCAGGGAAATAGAAGTGAGGTTATTACTGTAGGCTGAGGTGACCCGAACTGAGTCACCAAACTGAATCATGGTGGTTTGGTGTTGGGTTGGTCTGATGTTTGTCAATGCCTGTGAGGACATCAGTGGAGCTGGGGAGTTCAGTGCTCCTCATTCTCCCCAGCCCATGAGGACCTGTGGGCTCATTGTGGTGAAGGGATGCTCTGGAAAACAGAGACAAGCCTTGAAATGTTCTAAAACACTCCAGTTTCCATTCCTGTGACTTGCTGGAGCAGGCAGACACATTTCCTCCAGGACCAAAGAAGCAAATAACAGACTTTCTGATATTGCTTAACATTTTCTCTTTGCACTCCTCCTCCGTGGAGAATTTCTCTTTTCTGACATTTCCATTAGGGACGAAGGTGGTTTCCCATGGGGTGGAAATTCTCCTCTTCCCTCAGGTCAACCCAAATAATAAATCTCCAGCCAATTAAACCTCTCACTTGTCCCAGTTTCACAAATCACGTCCTCTTAGAAGTTTACAGCTGAGAGCTGAGGTGGAACTCCTCCAGTCCTTTCATTGCAAAGGCACAATGTGTTGCTCCTGGGGCGCCCATTTCCCTGTCTTTCTGTGATATTATCCCAGGCATTTACCTGGCATAATTGCACTGCTTCTCATTTCTAGCCCACAGCCACTTCAGCTTGTCCTTACAAGGCTGCCAGCAAACATTTGGGATTATTCACACATGTTTTCCTTCGAACATCGGTTTATTTGGTCACGGAGAGTCCCTGCAATCACCACCCTTGAACAGAACAGAAGCTTTTAGCCCAGTATATTTAAGTTTTGAATGTCAGAAGAAATCAGTGCTGAGTTTGCAAACACAGAGAGGGAGAGGGTGGTGGTAATGGCCCAGCTGATGCTGGAGCTGGGGACTGGGAGCACAGTGAGGATCATCAGAGGAAGGTTGTGGGTGAGAAGAGGACGAGAGAGAGGAGGAATGGCAGTTGTATTAGACAGAAACACGGAGGAGCTTTCCTCCTGCAGAATACAACATAGAAAATTGCTAGGACTGACAGCCCCGTGGCTCTTTGAGAAGGATCTGTATGATCCTCACATTTAACAAGGGAATTTCCTATTGGGAAGTTTTGCTGTGCACACAGAGGCACTTCGCATAGGCAGGGAAGGCTCTGCCATCCATTTGGGCTCCTGGCTGGGGTGGAAGTTATCACAGAATCATCAAAATTAAAAAGACCTCCAAGACCACCACATTCAACCCCAACCCATCCCACCATGCCCACTAAACACATCCCTCAGGGACACATCCCTATGGTTCTGGAACACTCCCAGGGATGATGATTCCCCCGCTGTGTCAATAATCACCACTCTTTCGGAGACAAAAATTTTCTTAATATCCAACGTGGCATGAGCAGGGAGAGCTGCTGATAAAAAAAAAAAAAAAAAAAGAGGTGCAAACAGATGGAGAAATAACACATGAAAAAGGGGTTGAGAGGAGCTCCTCTCACTGCCCCACACTGCAAACCAATGGGTGGGTGACATCTCTGTATCCAAATCTTGCTAGAAAAATATCTCTGTGTATGCACCACCTCTGCTGTTAAATGCAAGAGATCAAGCTGGGGCTCATCCTGTGCTGATATCTTGTCTCAGCTCACCATCTGAAGGCAAGGAGGCAGGATGTGGCTCAGGGCAGCCTGCTCTGCTGGTTGTTGACCCTGCACATAGCAGGGGGTTGGAACTGGATGAGCATTGTGCTCCTTTGCAACCCAGCCCATTCTATCATTCTATCATTCTATGATCTGGCGAGGCAGACAGCTTGGAGCTGGAGTGTTAGGAAGATGGATGGGGGCCATATGCTGCATTCACATCAGGACACAAACGAGCAGATCCGAGGCAAACGGACGGCTGTCAGCTCTGTTGTGGTGGTGTCAGGCAGTTCTGCGTTTGAAGGGTTTCATTTCTCTCCTTCGTTTCACAGGAGACAGCAATGCCAGATGGGTACCCTGACTCTGTGCAGCCATCCAGTGCCGCAGAGCCGTGGACATGTGGTGCAAGCTGTGCCCCCGTGGGATGGCTATGGGAGGTTTCAGGCTGTTCTGATGACTGGATTGCATGGGGTGAGACTGGGAAAGCACCTCCAGGAGCAATGAGGGAGAGAAGAACAAAGGTGTTAGGAGACAAGCAACGAGCCCAGCTGTATGGGATGGGATGGGAAGAGCAGGAACTGCTTTGGGAGGAGCCTGGTTTTGTCACCATGGAGAAGGAAGAACACGTCTCTCACCTATACCTCCACTGCTGACTTCAGCCAACAGTCACAAGCATCAGTAGTGCCTGGGTTATGCTACCATTGCCTCTAAAAATGGGATTTTCAGTGCCCATAGAATGGCAAAAAACCTGCCTCCCCCAGTTCCCAGCAGGGCAGCATGGCAGATGCAGCATGCAAGCAAAGTGCCCACATGTGTGAGCTGCCTTCAGGGCCAGGAAATCACTGCACCCCAAAACTCACCCATCCCAGCCTGTCTTACACAGACAAGACCCACAGGAATGGATTTGGGCTTCATGAAATTGCAATGAATGTTGCAGACTGTTCATCTCATCTTTACGTCTTTATTTTTTCCCAATCTTTAATCAAACGTTTTTTTTTCAGATTTTTGTGTAGTTCCTATCAAAAAAGCCCATCTGTAGAACAAATTCTCCTTCATTTCTAGTTTAATTTTTTTTCCTGCGAGTGGCAAAATGTTCTTGTCTGAGAGATGCTTAATGAATTTTCCACTGTCGCTTGCCTTTATTAGCTGCGATTTCCTATTTCTGGCGGAGCTCTCTGCCATTCCCGTGTTCCAGAGTGCACTTAATTATTCAATCCCATTTATTTCTGACTTCGAGCGTTGTCCTGATCTACCAGCAGGAACTGCTCAGATGCTGATGGGGGAAGATTTTTCTCATCAAGCCGGGGAATCTTGTCCTTCCATTGGTGCCCGTGGATGGCAAGCAATGGCCCTGTCCCCTTGCTGCCTGTGATCCTTCTAACCCATGGGTAAAGGAAACTTTTTTGATATTCAGATGACCCAAAGCACGGATGTTTGTGGGAGCAGGCTGGTTTAAATGACAATCCGCATGGGAATAGCGCCTGCATAAAATCATGGAGTCATTAAGGTTGGAAAAGACCTCCAAGATGCCCAATCCCAACCCCAACCCATCCCACCATGCCCACTGACCACGTCCCTCAGTGCCACATCCTCTCTGCCCCCATTTTCCCATTCATACAACGCTATGCATGCCTCCAAAAGCAGACCAAGCTGTGAGTATTTAGGAGTTGCAGAAGATGGGGTTGCTGGGAAGTGAAGCAGCCCACATGCAGGAAAGCTGCATTTTCACATGGTGCTCTCTTGACATTTGTTTACCAGAAAAGAAATAAACCCTCGGGCTTGAAACAAATCAGTCCTGATTAGGTACCTTCCACCCGTAAATCCACCATTTCCTGCCTGAGAGCTCCAGACTTGGAGAAAAAGATCTTTTAATTTTTGATAGCAGGGCTTCGAGGAGGAGATCATTATCAGAATTTAAAAGCCTGATCTGTTACTAAAAGGTTGGAATTCAACGGGCTCCTTTTTTACTGATATCTGCATTCCAACTAGCAAAAAAAGCACCCTTCATTTAATAAAGAGCGTCAGTACAAAATATAAACATGCCTACAAGATTTCTAGCAGCATGCTGCCCTCACCCTTTTGTTAAACATACATTAATGCAAGCAGATGGCTGAGGTGGGAGAAGCTGAGAGACAGGAGGTCCTTCTTCTGCTTTTGCCCTAAAACCAAGAAGCCAAAAAATACATCAGTGATTCCAGATATTATTGACCTCTTCTGAGACACACTTGGTTGAACCCCAACCTATGATGCCTTCTGATGTCCTGACAGTTGGGTTCTCAAGGATGTATGACCAGAACTCCCACCACTGACCAGAGCAGCCTTCACCTGGCTGCAGATCCCACCTCCACCCAGCTGGGACATTGCCTGTCCCTGACAACAGCACCACTTTCCCATCCCAGCACTCAGCACCAGGATCCAGTCCCGATGAACCTCTGCAGCATTGCAACGAGAGAGGTAACTACAGCATCCTTGACTCTCTGTTGGCAGGTGCAGTCCACCCCTGCAGCTCCTTGTGTTTGCATGGTGCTGCATTTGAGACAATAAATCCTCCAGGATCAGATCGTGCTGCGGGATGCACCAGTGGATGTCCAGGCTGGGTCTGGAAGCAGCAAACTGTGTACTATTATCTATTTTTTTTCCCCTTTCATTTGCAGAATCCAGTCTCCAGTTACCCTAAATGAGAGAGAACCTATTGCAACCATAATTAAATGTCACATATATTTAACGGAGCAGCACTCTACACCACACTCCCTCTTCCATCTGGCTCCAGCACAGCTGCGATCCGACTCTTCGCAGCCCATGAAATGACATTAGGGCCATTTCTGTTTATCAGCTCCGTGATTGATGCCTGCAGTCAACTCATGATATAACGAAGGGAGTCCGGGCAGTACAATGGGGTGTATATTTAGAAGATGAGATAGTACCTTGCGAGCTGTTAAGTATGACAACATTAGTGCTAGGGAGTGTAAATAAGAAGAGTAGCATAAGGGATGGTGAGTCACCCTATCGGGGAGTTGCTCTGCAGGCGGTGCTGATTTTCTCTTAATAGAGAGGAGTTGGAGCTGGTTGATGCTCAGTGTGAGTCCTTTTGTGCTGCAAGGCTCCAGCATCTTCATTTCAGCACACCTGCACACATGCAATGGCTTGGATGGGTGACTATTTCACTGGCACACACCAGATTTGGGAACAGGTCCGTGCCCACGAATGTTGAGTGGTACGGACCCCAAAACCTTCATCCTGTCAGCAGCATCATTCTTCACATGCTGACAAATGTGTCTGCCACGGGGAGCTGAGCACATCTCCCTGAAGGGAGCCTTCCAGGTGTCCCATCTCTTGGTGGATGGCTGTTTGCTGATGTTTTGGTAATGCCAAGCTGTAGGGATCAAGCCTAGGAGAGAAATCTGCAGTTTTGCCTTCTGCGGGGAGGTGAAGATGGTAGCCATAAAAAAAAGAGAGATGTGATGACATGGTGACCTGTGCAGCTCTGTCTACCTACAATGAGACCTGCCCTAATGACAGGAGCCTGTTTAACTCCACCTGTCCATCCCCATCTCCAAATATTTTCCCACTGGTTATGGTAACAGACTGTGCTCCGTAACACCCCAGAGATGCATTTGGGTTTTGTTGTGCAGCAATGTAAGAAAGCTTGCTAATTCACGAAACTTACACCATCCAGGAAAAGATTGCTATTGTGGGAGCTGCAGTTTAGACTCAAGTCAACACAGCAGGGGTGTCCTCACCTCAGCAGGGGAGTCCTCACCTCACACAATCCCCTTTCCAACACTGTCTGCGCAAGGAGACCTTTGCACAGAGGGGCAGAAGGTGACAAAGCGTCTCAGCCCACCTTACCCCATCATTGCAACTTCATCCCACACCGTCTTCACTGCACGTGCAATTTCATCCAATTTTCCAAGTCCTCCAGGAGGACTGAGCATCTGCAGTAACTCCAAGGGCTCTGGATTGAATTGGAGTCAAGCACCTGCAGAAGAAAGCAGCAAGTGGTAGCACAGCACAGGAGGTGATCAGAAGGGCTTGGTGTTTTCCTGAGCATCACAGAACTGGGGTCATGGTGGGAAATTGGAGTGCTGTGCTTCACCCAGCATCCCAGGTGCAGGCTAAGCCCAAGCCATAGATCCTCCCAGGATAAAGGCAGAACCAAGATATGCCTCATTTCTTCTTTACCATCCCAGATGAAAGAAAACAACAAGAAGAAACATCCCAAGAGCTTGACCTTCTGCTGAGCTTGCACCAACCTCCTTACTTGTTAACCCAGGACCTCCAGATGACATTTTCCATGGGACCTCCTGCAACCTTTGGAGAATCAGTGCCCCCCATCCCAGAGGGTGTGCTGGCAATTCTCTGCACCTGCCTCCTTCCTTGTTCCTGCCAGCAGCCTTGTTCAAAACATGTTAGATCAGGTTTGCAATTAAGTTCAGCAGGGGCTGCTTTATGACAGGCAATCACGGGACTGTTACTCATGGGTAGTGACAGACTTCACAGATCACAAATAATTTTGATGCCTACCTTCCCGCGTGCCAGGTTGCATCTTCATTTCAGCTGCGATTTCCCTATCTGAGCTGACAGCAGCTCTTGCCATCTGGGGAGAGGTGTGCTTCTCCTCCGTGGAGCTGCTGGAGCATCATTAGCAAACAACAGAAGCTGGGAAGCGTCAGGTGTTTATTTCCCCACATGTTGTTTTGTGGTGTCTTTGAATAGGAATTGTGCTTGTAAGTGACCTGGGAGCAAAAGAGTGCTAGATGTCCATGGCTGGGCAAAAGCCTGCCATATGACCACAGTTAGATCTGAGGCTGACCATAGGAGTTACCCATGGTGATGGGTCACAGGTTAAACTGGAGTGAAAGCTGAGAGAACCCAATCTTTGTGTATCAGGTTGGCTTGGGAATAGCAACCTGCAGAGCACATGCACAGAATCCACCTTGGAATATCATGGATCAAGAAGGACCCTCTGTGTTGCTGTCCTATGGGGCTGAAGACAGTTGGTGTCTCCAAGCTCACGTAGCTTTAGAAAGGGTCTTTGTAACGTGCTGGGCAGAGTGAAGATATCCTCTACAAGCTACCCTATAGCTGGGAAAAAGTGGCTCCTGTCTGCCTATGTTGGAGGTGATCAAAACACTGCAGAATCCAAATGTCCCCATATTGTCTTTGTGCAGGAGGACAAGGTCTCAAACGATGGAGATGGGGACAAAGTCTCAAATGATGGAGATGGGGACAAGGTGACCCACTGGAGCTTTGCCATCTCTGGTAGGAGATGTTCCAAGGCCTATTTCCATGATAATGCCATCTAACCACGGCTGTTTGAAAGAGCTCATCAGAAGTGCTCATGAGGATCTTGTGCCTGTAGGGGAATTTGGGCTCATTCAACCAGCAGCATTGTACAGATATGTCTAGATTCAGCAAATAGCTGTGTCAGGAAAAGTCCCCAGAGCAGAATCTCCTTATAAAGCTGAAATGGAGCAGGCTTGCTTTCCCTTTTTGGAACTGCTTTTAGGGGTTTTAATTTAAACATGTTACAACAACAACAACAACAAAAAGCCCCAAACCAGAACAGCTGATCGTCCTCTCTAAATCAAAAGCAGAACAAATTCATTTGGCACCCTGAACCAATTTTTGAAAACGTTTCCGGACAGGAAAAACTGCAGACATAAGAACTGCAGAAGAGAAAGGAAATCACTTTTGTCTGTGTTTGGAGTTGGTAGATTTTCTGCACTGGGAGAACGGAGCGATTTTCCAGCATCAGCAGTGATAACACACAGACATTTCCACGGTGTGGATCAGCACTGAAGAGTGAATTATCTCAAGACACCTGTGTCCTTCTGGTTTTATTAAAGGCATCAAACAAGGAAACAGCATTGCTGGATTACTTTGTCAGGCAGAAGAAAGCTTCCTAGAACAGAAATATTGACAGAGTTTATAAACTCTGTCCTGACCTTACTCCCTTCACATAAACCTGCTGGCTGAGTCAGGGCAATAAATCTACTGCACCTCACTCAGGAAGGGAAATGATGATCCATCTCTCCGTAATGGAAAAGGTTTTATTCTGAACCTGCAGAGGTGGTGATTTGCAGCAGGGATTTGGGCGGTGATGATGCTCTGGTGTTAATGCTGGAGATGGGAAGGAGAGGTGGGCAAGGAGAGGAATGTCAGCTGAGGTTCAGATGGGATATCATAGAATGATAGAATGGCCTGGGTTGCAAAGGAGCACAATGCTCATCCAGTTCCAACCCCCTGCTATGTGCAGGGTTGCCAACCAGCAGCCCAGGCTGCCCAGAGCCACATCCAGCCTGGCCTTGAATGCCTGCAGGGATGGGGCATCCACAGCCTCCTTGGGCAACCTGTTCCACTGCCTCACCACCTCCAAGTGAAAAACTCAATAAAGCATGGAGAAAACACAAGCTGGAAAAAGAATTATCAAATGCAAGAACGAGCAGAAGACAGAGAAGTGGGACTGGGTTCTACCAACACCCATTAAATACAATATAGTTGCATCTTTTGCAAGAGTCTTCCCATCTGGGCACTGGGTGAAGCTGAGGTTAGACATGGGGACTCCAACCAAGGGGCATTTCCCACGGTGGGCACAGAGGGAGACAGAGGCAGGGTTAATATTCCACTGAGAGCTTATTATGATGGATAGCAGCTTAGTGGAGCTGTGTTTAAACAGCCTAATAGAGAGCAGAAGTGGTTTGGAAGCTCTGAATGAGAGCCAGTCAACCTGTTTTTGTGAAGCCTTGGTAGGCTGTAAGCAGAATTTGGCTTTGGTGCATAGCAGATGGCTCAGGCGATGTCCCTCTGCTCTATACATAGTAATTTTTGACCTGAGCTTTACCTCTTTGACAAAAAGCACACGTATTTCTGATGGTGTGGGAGATTTCCAGGAGTATTCCAGGACAATTCTTCTGGGAAAGGAAGGGCAAAGCCCATTCTCACCCTTTGGCAGGACAAGGAGCCATCCCAGAGAGCAGACTGCGTGCTCTGCGTCTTCACGTTGAGCGCAGACTCATTGCATCAGCTGAACACCTTTCTGCATCATTCTGATGTTTTGGGTGGCTATTTCCACGGTGCAGCTCAAGGCTCTAAGAGCCTTGGAGATGGATAGACTCACAGAATATCAAATCCCAGACGGGTTGGGGTAGGGGTGGACCTCAGAGCCCACCCAGCCCTACACCCTCCATAGGCAGAGACACCTCCCATAGCCCAGATGCCCATATTCCCACTTATGGCCTTGGGCACTGCCAGGGATGGGCACCCACAGCTCTGAGCACCCTCAGGGTAAAGAATTTCTCCCTAATACCTAATCTAAATCCAGCTTCTTTTGGCTTAAAAACGTAACCCTTTGTCCCATCACTACAACCTTGAGACTACAACCCTCCCCAGCTTTCCTGCAGCCCCTTTAGGCACTGGGAACCTTTTGTAGGGTCTCCTCAGAACCTTCAGGTTGGATACTGGGAAACATTTCTTCTCAGTAAGAGTGGTCAGGCACTGGCACAGCTGCCCAGGGGGGTGGGAGAGTCACCTCTGGAGGTGTTTCTGAGCCATGGGGATGTGGGACTGAGGGATGTCCTTTGAGGGCATGGTGGGGTTGGGTTGGGGTTGGGCCTGTGGATCCTAGTGGTCTTTTCTAACCTCAGTGATTCTCTGGTTTTCTCCAGACTGAACAGCCCCAGCTCTCATCCTGTCCCCACAGCAGAAGTGCTCCAACCTCTGAGCATCCTCGTGACCTCCTCCGGACCTGCTCCAGCAGCTCCACATCATTCTTGTGCTTCTTTGGACCCCAAAGATGTAGGGTTTCTATGACCAGCCACCCCTACAACCCCAACCAGGAGGATGCTGCAGGGCCACCAGATGTGCTCCAGGCACATGAGTTCTGGTGGCCTCGACTCACCCTGTCACCGCTGTGTCACAGCCAGCAGCTATTTGCTTTCTCCCTGCAGGCTTTCCCCCCACAGCTTCCCTCTGCCCGTGTTTAGAGAGAGAAGAAGGAATGAAGTCATCAGCTCTGCTGTAACACAGGAATCCTTTCAACGTGCTAATGCGCTTGCATTAGTGCTAATGGGCACCACCAGCAGCAGGCTCTGGAGGAGAGAGGACAGGGAGCTGAATTCCTCTAATACTTCCTTAATCCAACGGGTCTTTAAAAGCATAATGAAAGCAGCTCCTGCTTACAAACAACCAGGGCATCGCAGAGTTTTGTCACATTCTTTGGAGTTCCTCCTCATTCACTGCTGCCATCAGCTGCAGCTTCCTGCTAGTGTTGTTTCCCCCCCCCCAAAAAAAATCCCCTCCCAAAATCAGAGAGCAGCATTATGCCCTGTGAAATGGCTGTGTTGTCTGAGCTCGGTTTGATTTACTGAAACAACATTTGCAAAGTGCAAATCCCGTTGCCAGTTATGTAACTGAATTATCCTTCCGTCTGCCAGACAGCAATTCTACAGTTAATTGATTTTAATCTAATCATTTGTAGCCAGCCACCAGTTTTAATCAACCCCCAGCCCACCGCTTTGCATGAGCCATCTTTCCAGCAATTCCTGTTTTTAATTATATGAGAGCCTGGTTGCATTTCATTAATTCTTGTCACATTACCACAACCCTCCATTTCCACTGCCAGAATCCAACCACTCGGCATCATCACCCATTGCAGTGCACAAACAGGAGCAGATCCCTGTTCCACTCTCATTAGGTTTGGGGCATTAATCAGCGAGGCTCAGGAGAAGCAGACCATAATGCTCACCTCTTCTCCTCTTCCCCAGCCACTCTTTTCAGTCCTCTCCTCCCTGCAGCTTGAACAAACACTGAGAACCAGAGCAAGAGGCAGGACAGTGAAAATTCCCTGTGTTCAGCCTGGTCTTGTTGAGTCCACAGCCTCAGGAATGGTGCCTGGCACGTGGCCTGGTTGGGATAGGCAGGGTGTTCTTGACATGTTAGGAAAAGCTGGGTTTGGCCAAAAAGCTGCAATCACAGCTGGGTCTTTATGCAAACGGTGCTGAACTTCATGGTTTTTCCTCTGCCTCCATGTAGCTCTGTGCTCCCACCCTGATTTCCAATGGGAACACAGCCCAGATGGCTGTTGGAGAGCTCTGGGTGGATGCCCAGAGATCAGCATCACCCCTGCTCCTGTTGGCAAAGCCACACTGGGATGGAGGCACTCTCCCAAGGCTGGAGTTCGAGGGTCAAGCAAAGGCACAGGAGGATTTTGGCTCTGGAAATTCCTTATGTGTGGGATTCCCATTAATCTGCATGAATACGTGGTCCAGTTTGTCACTACTTCCCCATAAGAAGTCTAATAAGAGCCATAGAACATTCCCAGTTGGAATCATAGAGTCACAGAACCACAGAAAGCCTTGGGTCATCCAGTTATAGAATCATAGAATCCCAAGGTTGGAAAGGACCTACAAGATCATCTAGTCTAACCGTCTTCCTGTCATCATTACTACCAACCAAGCTACTAAACCATATCTCTCAGCACCTCATCCAGGTACCTCTGCCACCCACTAAGCCAGGCACCAGATCAGGTTATCCAGAGCCACATCCAACCTGGCTTTGAAGGAATCCACAAGGATCACTGAGTCCAACCCCATGGCCAAGGGCAACTCCACAGCCAGTGGGAAACAACAGCAAATCCTGCCATTCACATGGGAACAGGGACATTGCTTGTTCCCAAACTGTCTTTGCAAGGATCCACTCAACGCAGCCTGCCCAGATTTAGAATGGAGGGAAGGAGATGCTGGGGTCTTATTGGGGCAGTCCCTGCATCCTTCCTGCCACCCTCCAATGATGCTGGGGCACGTGGGCTCTGGAACTGTCCTAGTTATGGGGCTGGAGCCTTCATGTCCCACCATAACACCAACCCCCAGCCCAACAAGCAGCCCCAGAGGGTCCCAGACCACACACACCTGAAATGCAGCAGAACAGGGAGCTGGTCCCTCCCAAGGAGGAGGTGTCACGTAGAAATGATGTATCACCAGCAGACTTGTGTAACAAGGTTTTTATGGACTACCAATAAAACAAACAGTAAAAACCTCATTGCTGACTAAGGAAACGCAGCCAGTGTGAGCAAATAATTTAGGCTCTAGGGATGACTTGTATTTAATCCTCCCTCTCCCCACTTAGGGCAGTTTTATGCTGATATGAATTACTGAATCCAGTGCAGATCTGCCCTGCACTCCAGCTCGCCGTGAGCTCCGGTAATGAAGACTTGTAGCAGCACTACACTGCAAGAGCACCCTCCTAAGGTCTCTGTATGCATGTATGGATATATACTGCAACAGGTTGCCCAAGGAGGCTGTGGATGCCCCATCCCTGCAGGCATTCAAGGCCAGGCTGGATGTGGCTCTGGGCAGCCTGGTCTGCTGGTTGGCGACCTGCACACAGCAGGGGGTTGGAACTGGGTGAGCATTGTGCTCCTCTGCAACCCAGGCCGTTCTATGATTCTATGATCTGGATGAGCTGAAACAACAGCTGTAATGAAAACATGATGTGTGTGCTGAAATTGCATAGATAATCCAATTTCACTGTATGCTTATAGGTAATGTGCGTGGTTTGTACATGTATACTGTGCTGTAGGTAATCCCAGGGTTGGCATGGACCACTGGATGGTCTAGTCCAAGTTCTTGCTACAATGGGAATTAAAAAAAAAAAAAAAGAAAAATAAGACCTTTGTATTAAAAGGTCTTAACATTTCTGAAACGTTGCCTTTGCATAAGGCAAAAAGGAAAGTGTTCCAGCTGAGTTTTGACCTCAGAAGCAGACTCCAAGCCACAAAAGCCTTGATGGTTGGAGCAAAGCAGGGCTTTTGGAAGGAGCACTCTTGGCTTTTGGAAGGAGGCACTATGGTGTTAGCATGGCCCACGATGAACTGAACGGCACAGAAAGGCTCATTAGCTCCTCAGTGTAGGGAATCCTGGAGCACAGCTGTTGGAGATGACTAGTGATGGTGACTGGGTACAAGGAAGCATGATTTTTGTGCAGGAGATCTTGGACCTCAGCGGATTGCCAAACCCCTGCCAACCTCAGACATCCTGAAGCTGCATGAACCCATCTGTAAAGCAGTGGTGTGGAGGAACTGATGAATCTCTCCTTGCATCCATCCCACTCTGTATCGAGTGTCCACCTTAGGCCTTCCTTCCTGGGGTCTGGAGAGGAGAGCTGATAGGGTGCATGGATGGATGGATGGATGGATGGATGGATGGATGGATGGATGGATGGATGGCTTCTGAGCCCTCACCAGTCACAGACATCTAGCTGAAAGGATGCTAAATGCATGCATGGCCACTCTCTGAAACTCATTTGGGCCAGCTGCAATGAATCAGCTGTTTGAAATAGTGATGATCAATAGGAATCCACTTCAGCTGGGGAGAAAGCTGCTTCCCAGTGGAAGGCTGCCCTGTTGCTGAAGGGGAGGTATGTAGTGATTAAGGCTGATCAGGTTCTCCTTGCCGACTCTACTTCTATCTGGTTGTTATTCTTTCTAAATCTTTTCACAGCAGCTACCCAAGGAATTAATAATCTTTTAGAGATAGGAGAAAAAAAATTAAAAAGAAACAGAAAAGGTTCTGCCCTCTTGTGCAGAGCACTTGTCTGGAAGCTCTGGTGGGATCTGTCTCTACTGGATCATCCCCTTCTCATCCCAGCAGGGATGTGAGATATGTTTTTGGCTCAAATTACGGCACTGGAAGAGAAACCCCCTCCATCAGCCTGGGCTGGGAAGAACCTGGATGTTTTTTTTGGCATTTTGAGTGGGAGTCAGGGGGAGATACCAGACTGGGGTTTCACACTGGAAAGTGCTGGGTGCTGGTGGAGTTTCCCCTCCTTCCATTTTTTCCTGAAATTGCTTTTGCTGTCTCTCTGTCCTGTGCAGAAAGCAATGAAGGTCTGGGAGCTGGACCCGAGGTGGATCTGTGTCTGCCTGCTTGACCCTGGGCAAATCGCTTTGCTTCTCATGTTCCCCCTTGGTTAAAAGCTATGACTTCCCCCCTAACACAGAAAAGGTGCCCCAAAGCAGCAGTGTTGTGCTTCCCTGGGATTTGTGCTCCTGTGGCCTTCTGAGCCTCGGTGCTCCTCATGCTTTGTGTCCCATCCTTGCAATGAGGACGAGGTGACATTTGCTTTGTTTGTGGGAATGGTAAAGGCTATTTTAGAAGCTATTTAGGGAATTTGGAAGCTAGGTCAAGAATTAGGTGCTTTTCTATGCCCCGTGTAATCTGGGGTGCATTCTCTTGCACTTATGGCATGGGTGGAACCAAAGCATTGCTCTATGCATCCCCATCCCAGCACGAAGCTGCCCCATGGGCCGTATCCCCACCCTGCTGAATGCCAGAAACTCGGGTTATAGCTTTGCAAAGCGAGGTAGGAAATTGCCAATAACACCCAATAACACCCCCGCACCCTGGACTGCGGCAGAGATTTGCCTTTCTCATTTATGTGTAAATAAGCCCTTTTCTTTCTGACACCGAGCAGGTCCTGCAAGTCACCCTGAGTGCAGAGCTGGGAGCAGAGGACCCGAGTGTACAGGGAGGGTTTGGGAGAACAAAGGGTTTTTTGACAAAACCTCATCTGGCTAATCCTGCGTTGACCCTGCGTGCAGAACAAGGTGGTGAGCACGCCCGATTAAATTGTGTCTGCTCCGTCATGAATTATGGATCTTTGCATTTCCATTTTCCGCTGCTTGTTTGACGGTGTTCGCTTCTGTTGATAAGGATTAAGCCACCTGCTTCAAAGCACAGCACTGTGCTTGGTGAGGAAGAGGGGAGGGCTCAGCATCCTGCTCTGCTGCCTGTGGGAGTTGGGGTGAGGGCGCGCCAAGGCTGGCACCCACCTGCGAGGATTTTAAGGGAGGTTTGGGGGTCATGTGCCATATGGACGTGGTCCTGGATTACCCTAGGTGGCCGTACAGTGGACCAGATGGGCTCTGGAGGTCCCTTCTGCTCTCAGCTATATGAGGATTTGGTGATTCTGCATGGAATGTGGAGTGCAGAGGTGGACACTCCATGCGTTCCCTCTTCCATTTGCACCTCTGGACTCATGAGCTCACTGTGGACCTCCTCCAGGGGCCAGCAGGAGTCACAGAATCACTAAGGTTGGAAAAGACCTCTGAGATCCCCAACCCCAACTCATCCCACCGTACCTAGTGACCATGTCCCTCAGTGCCACATCTCCATGGTTCTGGAGCACCTGCAGAGACAGTGACCCCAGCACCTCCCTGGGCAGCTGTGCCTACATCTTACCTATCTCCAGATGGGAGAGCTCAAGGGTTAAAGGCATGAGATACCAAGGAGCAGCTATTGATCAAACACAAGCAGCAGAGTACATGTGGAACTGCTGCTGCCTTTAATGACAGAAGCCACGGAGCATTTGTCCTGATTAAATGTTGTCTGAGAGGAGGAAGGTGTGCACGTGTCAGCCTTGGGAACACGTGAAAGGTGTGTGGTGTCCATTCAGGTGTCCCAGGGCAGTTTGGCTGCCAGTCCTCAAAAGAATTTTCCCCTTGTGGTAGAATGATAGAATGGTTGCAAAGGAGCACAGTGCTCATCCAGTTCCAACCCCCTGCTGTGTGCAGGTCACCAACCAGCAGCCCAGGCTGCCCAGAGCCACATCCAGCCTGGCCTTGAATGCCTGCAGGGATGGGGCATCCACAGCCTCCTTGGGCAACCTGTTCCACTGCCTCTCCACCCTCTGGCTCAAAAACTTTCTCCTCATATCCAACCTAAACCTCCCAGATCTTCAGGTTTTGCCCTGATATTCTATCTGGAGTAAAACTAAAGAGCTACCACCTGCCAGGGGGCTTACCATGGAAAAAGATGGAAGTTAAGAGTGGAGCTAAGCAAGAATTAACCAGTCTTGGTGTCACCATGCA